TGTGGGACCCTGGCCGGCAGCTGGGGAAGCCTCACAGCCCAGCGCTCAACCGCTGCACCACCAGGGGAGGTCCTAAAAGCATTTACTTTTTGTCCAAAGTTTTCTTTAACTCTTAGTGTTTATCTGTTGGCAGTGTATTCTCTCCATTTTTGTTGGTCTACCTAGATCTTATTTTAGCCTCTGAATACCCATATTTTCTCTAAGTATAGAATTCTAAGTTGTTTTTTTCCCCAGAGTTTTCAAGATGTCATTCTGTTGTCTTCTGGTACCATTACTTTCTGTTGAAAAATCAGCAATCACTCCTACTGTTGTGTCTTTGTAGGTAATTTGTCTTTTCTATCTATGGCATCCACCCTCTGTTTCTAGTATTTTCTTTTTGCCTTTGAATATCCAGCTAGATTTTTAGTGAGGTTTCTTTATATTTATCTTGCTTGGGTTTATAGAGATTCTTAAATCTCTGGCTGTATGCCTTCGATCAGTTTTTAGAAAAATCTCAACCAATATCTCTTCAAATATTGATTCTACCTAATTTTCTTTCCTGCCCCTCACTCTAGAAATTCAGTATTACGCTCAGGAGACCTTTTTACCATGTTCCATAACATATCTCTCATACTTTTCTCTGTACTTTTCATTCTTCATTTTTACCTTTTAGATCTTCAGTCTGCCTATATTCTACTGACCTATATTCCATCTTACTGTTCCTCTTGTTAGTTGTATTTAATTTGTTGTTACATCTACCTGTTGAATTCTTTCAGTTATTTAATTTTCAGTTCTAGAATATTTGATTATTTTTAATAGAGTCTAATTTGATGGTGAAAATGAATTCCCTTCTCATTTCCTAAACATATTAATCATCATAATTCAGAGCAGTGTCTGATAATTCTAAAATCTGGATGACCTGTATATCTTTTTCTGTCTTATTGGGTCTTACTCATTTGTTGCCATTTCTTGTCATACTGGTGAATGAAGATTGGATGTTGGACCTTCTACATCAAAAATTGTAAAGTCTCTCCATGACCTGATTGTCTTCCAGAGAGGATTTCCTTCTCCTTGTTAGATAGGTGGCAGACCATCTTGAAATCATCTTGAGATGCTTGTGGCTTATCAGTAGAAAAACTGAGAATATATGATTTCAACTCAAAGTCAGTTGCCAGCCAGGGCCACTCTTACTTGGAAAGCCTAATTTTTATTTTCTGAGAGTCAGGATACTGTCAAACTATGCTTAGTTTCCTAGTTTAATTGAGATGATTTTATTTTCTTCTTTTCAGCCTCATGTCCACTGTATCTGCACCTCAGTCATTATGAAACTATAGGGAACACTATATATAGAATATTGGGTTTATTTTTTCTGGTTCCCTTTTCCAGGATTTTGGACCTTCTAGTTCTATCTGCTTTGGTAACCCCAATTCAGGTTTCTCCCAACTCAGTGAGACTTTATATTAAACTCCATAACATTATTTTTCTGTTTGGCTTCTATTCAAAACAGCAAATGCTCCAAAGGGGAAATGTGGCAGTAAAATGTAGGGCTCATTTCAATGGATTTTTCTTCTCTCCAAATATTGACTCTTTAAGTTCTGACTGCGTTTGTTGCTCTAACATGCACCCCATTTTTTGTTGGTATGCTTTTATCCAACTTTCATAGTTCTTAGCAGAAAGATTTGTCTGATACAAACTATCTTCTCATATTTGGAAGCAGAAGTCTATCTCATATAATTTTCACACAAAAAAGTGACAGCTTATTATCTTTATGTATTAAGTAGAAATAGAATTTTTTATGAACATAAGCTTTGGAATCAGACTTTGGAATTTAAATCCCAGCTGGCCACTAACCAAAATGTGAAAACTTGAATGAGTTGAACTTCTCTGACCTTATATTTCCTCCCCTTTTAATCAGTATCTGAGAAATGAAGGTGACGAGATCTATAAAGATCAGATAATCTCACTTTTATTTAAACTATTTCAGAGCATAATAAAAGGAAAACTTCCAAATTCTTTATTTGAAACTGGTGTTTTAATTACTAAATCTAAGAAATATGGCATCTAAAATAGACTATTTTCATTTATGAATATTAATACAAAAGCATATTTAAAATCATAGCAAACAGAAGCTAGTAGCATATTTCAAAAAGTTCACTGTGATTAGGAAAAGTTTATTCCAAAAATATGATAGCTAAATGCTATGAAATCTACTAGATAAATCATCATATTAATGGAGCCAAGGAGAAACAAATCATGATCATCTCCATAAATGTAGAAAAAATATTTGATAAAATTCAACACACATTTATTTTACTTTTCATTCAACAAATATGTATTGAGCAGCTGATCTATGATAACACTGAGGATGCCAGGGTGGAAAAGGTATTGGCAACATCCCAGCTCTCATGCCAGTGGAAAAAAACAGCCAATAAATACACAAGGAAGGGGACAAGCTAGAACATACATTTATTTTAAACACTCAGTAAAATATGTGTGGGCTTAATTAAAATACTGAGCATACCTTGTGTCAAAAGCCAGCATCTTACTTATAGGGAAGTTCTGTTTTCTCTTTAGAGTCAGAAATAAGATCAGGAATCCATTGTATCCACATCATTTACTATTAGGTTGAGGAATTAGCTCAAGCCATAAGACAAGAGAAAGCTATAGAATTGAAAAAAGATAAAATTTCTATTTGTAGATGAATATATATACACAAATATACAAAAATATTACAAATACGCAAATATGCACATACATAAATATACAAAAGGAAATAAACTACTATGGGAAAATTATTATAAACAATAAGATATTTAGTCAAGGGACTGCTTGTAGTACAAATAAATATATATATCTATTAATATATAAAGGTCAATTGTCATCGTATATACAAATAGATAGAATTAAAGAGAAATTTCATTTATAAAAAATATAAAAAGAAAATATTCAGATTATGGAAAAATTATAAAATACTTTTGAAAAAAATAACAGTAGCCTTGAACAAATTATTAAAAATACCTTGTTATTAGATAAGAAGCTACAATAGTATACAGATGCCAGCTTTTCCTAAACTGATTATTTTTATATTTATTTATTAATTTATTTATACAAGCACTAGGTACAGTCAGAAGCGTGGGAAGATGAGAGAATTCACCAGAGCCAGAGCAGGGAACAGAACAGACAGACTGACGAAAATGCACTGCTGAGGGGAACAGCGGGTTAGACAGGAGAGGTCTGTCATGCCATGTGGGACCCTCCCTGGTGGCTGGGGATTGAACTGGCACTGCAGAGGCTGTGGGCAGCTTCGCAGCCCAGCACTCAACCGCTGTGCCACCAGGGGAGGCCCCTCCTAAGCTGATTTATACCTTTTTATGCAATTGCAATAAAACTTCCATAAGTTTTTTTCCTGGAACTTTCAGCACTGATTATGTATTTCTTTTGTTCTGCAAATGCTAGTTATTCCCGGGAAGGAGGCGCCCGATCCTGTAGCAGGTAGCTGCGGGGCAGTGTGGGAGGAGGGTTTGCTTTGCACAGGATGTGCTTCATGGCTTACGTATTTCTCATGACTCTTACCACTCTCTATACTAAACCCTGAGCTTTAGGAACCTGCATTCCAGAAGCACCTCTGGCTCATTGTGCTATGCTGATGGGCTGCTGGCCAATTGGCTGTATTTTCCATTGTTCTGCTCTGGGGCTATTAACTCATTACTGAGGTGGCACTCAGTGTCATTTGGGGAGGACAAAACTTTCATTGCCACCACAGTTTCATCTCCTTACTTCTGACCCCAAAAGGAGGCTCCCAAGAATGGTAAGGTGGGAAAGACAAGGTCATTTGCTTGAAAAGTGCTGGGGTTGAGTGGTTATCTTGGTTGTGATGTGAGGAGGTAGAAGTGGCCCAACTTTGCTGTTTTAGCTTCTTTTTTATCTTCTTTCTTGTTGTTAGCATGGATTTTTAGCTTCTTCTCAGTGTTAATGTTTTTTTATCCTAAATTTGTCATTTATGGTAAATTATAGATATTTGTTATTAGTTATGAAACCATAATATATGTTCTCAGCCTTCTCCCCTCTTGCTTCTTGCAGGACCTTTTCCTGCTTCCTGCGCATACCTGTACTCTCCTAGCACCTGCCTTTTTAGAAGCCATTCGCTCTTCCTCACCCTCCCTCCTTACTCTTGTCGCAAAGCCTGCCCGTTCTCCAGTGCTGTTTTCAAAGATTCTTTTAAAAATACGTGAATTTCCAACTGCATACACACATGCACACACACATACACACACACACACATGCACTGGTATTTATCAGGCAAAAATCCACCCCTTTATTTCTTAGTAATTTGTATTTGTTCTGAGCTTTCCTATTAAGCTGTGAATGTCTGCACTTTGGGGACTCTTTACCTAAGTACCTTCTGAAGCATTTTGCTCACTGCCCAGCTTATTGTTCTGCACAGGAAATAAGATTGAGTTGAGAAAAAACAAGGGCTTAGTCTATTCCAGTGGCATAGACTGGCTATTCAAACTGTGCATAAGATCCCACTTTTGGAAACTACTGAGGTGAGCGAGTCCATCAGGGGATCATGGTGGTGACCCACCATGAAAAACCAGCTGCTACTTAGATATTTCTGACCTCTGTCTACTTATGATTTCCCCCGGGCTTCCATGTACCAGCAGTCCCATTGGCAGGAGGTGGGGGGGTGGCTCTTAATGTGGAACAAAGTCTCCCTTAATGCAGGGCCTCACCAGATTCCACATTAAAGAAGACTATGATACTTGGCTCCACTTACTTAAAACTACATAATTAAAAATATATAGTTTCCATAAGCTCCCCAAACAATAAGTTGTTTACATCTTTAATGTGCTGTGTGTGTGTGTGTATGTAGAGTTTAGTAGACCCAACATTGCTCAATGTCATGTTCTCACTCAGTTGTTCACTTTTTGTGAATATGTGACTAACAAGAAGTGAGATATTTGCAAGTATCACTACATACCAATTATTCTTCAAAAACACAAAGTCTTTTTTTCTTGCAGGAATCCAGAAGCTTTGAAGTCTCAAGAAGAGAAGGTAGGGGAAATACATTCATACTCATTTCATTCTCAGTGGTGACATTTTGGAAGTTGTTAGCTGAAGCCAAGATGAATTTCAGACTGTGGGCAGTCTGTTCTTTGAAATTTCATGTGGCCTTTCTGGGTGCTGACTGTTTGGCACTTCCCTCTAGGGACTGCCAGAACTGAAGGCCAGATTTGTTTGTGAGAATTATGTCTTCTACCTTCAAGTATCAGAGGTGGGGTTTGGGGAACTGGCTCATTCGTAATCATGTTTATAGTCTCTCTCGAGAAACCTCATTTTTTGAGTGGCTTGAAGTAATTATTTAGTTTCATCTAGCAACAACAATATCAACAACAAAAAATGGTTTTGTGGTTTGAGGTATTTTAATATCTGGGAAGAGATGCCACTGTGAAAAATATTTCTGATTAGATTTTTACAGCTTTAGCTAAGCTGAAATAGAAATAATCAATTAATATCCCTTTTGAAAACAATTCCATGATGTTCTATTTTCCTTGCCAGAGTTCCTCTAGCACATTTGTTTTCTGGTCTCTGAGGTAAGTGTATAGGGGTGGTAATTGCTGAGATCTTTTCCTGGAAATTGAGGTTTCCGTTATTCACTTAAAGCAATACCTCGTCTCTGATTAGTGTCTTTTGTGTGATTTATGGAATCATCACCAATCACTCATTTATTGAACGGGTGGGAGGATGAAGTCAGAAACCAAAGTGAGTTTTTTGTAAAAAACTGGCCTTTGGTTTTATCCTTAACCACACCTTTCTCTGTGACACTGTCTCTAAAAAGAATGGCAGTGTGAAAAAGTAAGCGAATTTCATATTGACACCTAAATCTGACATTTTTTTTTGCCTCGATATCAGTTACTATTTTATGTACAACAACAAAGACATGGAATATCTGTGTTATCAAAGCATGTTTCTAGAGCTTGGGGGGTCTAAACTCCCCAGACTTTGTTTTAATGTAATGGTGACAGCCTGGTTACTTGCTGCTCTCCATGGTGCTGTAATCCAGGACACAAGGATTTGGGTATTCTGACCTAGGATATGAGCTTTGTGGCTTCCTTGTCCATTGCCTCTGATTTTAGACTCAGTGTCTTTCAAATTGCACCTGCAAGGTCATATGCATTGTTTGGATATCCAACCCAAATGATATTGGATAAAAGTAAATGAGACAGGGAAGTCATGTTTCTTATTGAAAGTTGTGTTCACAGTGAGTATGAAGACTATGTAAACTGGAGAAAAAGCCTTAAGGAGAGATGTTGGCATGACATTTCGCTTTGAATACTGTTCTGTTCATGTCAGTATCCCTAAGTGTGAGTGCTTGGAATTCATTTGCATTATGGAATCACATACAAATGTATCCACTCTGGAATCTTACTGTCCTAGTATCAAAAGGGTCTCTAATCAGTAAGGATGAAGTATGAGAAAGCCCTGTATATTTTTGCTCTAAGGCATAAAAAGTGCTGATAGTACCTAAGGTTACAAACACCCAGAAGATTGAAAGTGTCCAAGGATGAGCAAAGACATGGTCAAGGCTGGAGACTATTTACCTATAACCACCTCCACACTGGAAGCATCAGCCTTCACAGCTGGTTGACTAGGAGCATATGCTTTGTGTTTGTACTAGCAAATTTATCCTGACATCACTTAAACCTTTTTTGTCCTATTGTGAACTGCTGTCTTTCTTGCTTGTTTCTGTCAAAGTTGAGTATTTGCAAGTTCCTGAAGTCGCCCAGTGCCTTAATGTCAATGCTCATCACCTGGCATAGCAGGAAGCCAGGCAGGAAGAGTGGGGCCTTACAGATTGGCAACATGTCTTTTCAAGTCTGAGAATTGGCTTGGGTAGTGGTGTCTTTAATCTTTCCCAGGACACTATGTGAATAAAATACTGTGAATATTTCAATAGATTGTTTTTCCTACAAAAAAAATATTATTATCTAGCAACAAACACTGAAGGTTGATTTCTTAGCTTTTCCTTGACATGGAATTGAAAGAAGAACAAATAAGTACTACTGTGAATTTTTTCTGCCCAGTTTACTAGCCCAGGAGTTTGTGAAGAAGTCTGGAGGGTCTGCAAATGGAGAGGTTACCTCCGTATCACAAAATCTAAGATAAGTTTAGGTTTTTGTTTTGTTGTAACACAACACTTGTTTGTTTAGTACTATCAGCTCCATCCAGGACTCTGTGCTACAAATGGACGAGCAGTGTAAATTCATACTACCTGACTCATGGAAACTCTTGTCCAAGTCTGTGAAGTGAGGAGCGAGGGGAGCACATGTTAGCCGTGCAAATAGAGTCCAGGCAACAATCACAGTGGGGCTGGAGATGGTTAGGCTGATGTGAAGGCATGTGTGTACCTGCTCCCTTCTTTACTTCCCTGTGTGCTCCTCCCAGCCTTAGATAAAGTTGTGACATGCTCCCCAGATTGTGAGACAGCTCTGTTGCCTCTGGCTTTTCTCAAATTCTTCCTGAAACCCGCATATTCTTTGTCCCTCTTCCCTTTCAACTCTCTTCCTTGAAGTATTGAGTTTACTGTTTAGTATTTTGTTTACTTTATATGAGTGTTAAGGGCTCCTGCTGGTTATTCATTTCCTGAGAGGAAGACCTGACCCTCATTCACTCTCTGATCATTCAAGGACTCTGTAGTTGCTCAACAGTTGTTTGTTGAATTAAGTGCAACCGTGTGTGGTCTTTTCACTGTGATCCTGTCCTAGTGATATACGCAAGTGAGGCACTGAGTCCTTTGATTCTAGCAAGGTACTTTTGAAGAAGTATTCGATGGCTACCCTTCCAATATTCCTAACTGGTGCATTGATGAAAATGTTCTATATTTAAATAAACTTGGTTTTATGAATTAAATCATCTCCCGGAAAAAAAAGAGAAAGTTATGAAACATCAACCCAGAACCTGTGGGCTTGACGTATTTTGGAAGTAGGTAGATGGAATCATTGTAGATTAGGAAGGGCCCTAATCCAATGTGTGGGCACAGAACCACAGGGAAACTGTATGGTGATGGTGCAGGTGAATCTATAAACCAAGGTTTGCTGGTAGGAACTAAAAAGAAGCAGGGAAGGATCTTTTCCTAAAGCTTTCAGAGGAAGCACGGCTCTGTAACATCTTGATTTCTGACTGTTAGCTTCCCGAGTTGTGAGAAAATAAATTCTCTTGTTTTTAAAGCACCAACTTATGGAACTTTGTTACATCATACCTGGGAAATTAATACACTTGGCAAATGCTAGGTTCAATATTGAGTAATTTTTTTGTTGTTATTTTTGCTGAAGAACCTCTCAGGTTCTTTAAGAAGGTAAATGGGACTCTCAATGCAGGTGTAATAAACAGCATTTCCAAACGTTGTTTCCTGTGGCATCTAAATTGCATGTGTGTGTTTTAATCATCTCAGAGCTAGAATTCCATGTAATATCCTTTCCAAATCTATCTTGGTATAATGTGAAGTGGCTGACTCTCTTGGATGAAACAGAGTAATCCTTTCCAAATCCTGCTCTAGAGTGCTCAGGAGGAAGAACTTCTTCCTCAGTGCCCAGAAGGAAGACGGGCCTAGCACCAGGGCTTCCGAGGTGGTACATGAAGGAGAATGGGAGGTAGTAATGATGCAACTCCTCAGTTGTTAAGAAGTTTTCATAGAACTTTTCTTTAAATCCTTTGACCCTCAGTAACCCATGACTTGAGCAGTGCAGGTACCACCTCCCTTTCCATGCTAATTTTAGTAGGAATGAAGACTCACTGTGGATCAGGGTCCCTTTGATGCACATCCCCTGTCTCTCATGGAGGGAAATGACTTAAGTGAGCTGGTCTTGCATCATCATCCAAGAGCTTTTGTACCTACCTGTCCACTGCCAAGCCCAGAGAGCTGAGAAGAACACTTCCTAGGGGAGCTTTGAGTCCAGGGTAGATTTGTGGTAAGAACTCTCAGGGGAACCTGGAGGCATCATAGTATCATGGACTGTGACAGGACTACAAGACTGGTAGCAGGTCTTTCTGGAATGGCTCCTGCCTTCCTCCTTCCGCACCCCCCTGCCCCAGGCAGTCCTGTGTCATCCTCGTGACCCTGACACACCTGCACTAACTGTGCAGAGAAGCAGCCGTAGCTTCGTCATCATCTGCTTTCTAATGCAGGTGTTTCTGCACCTCCCTCCAGACAACTGCAATTTAATTTCAAAGCTGCAGCAAAAGGTGCCAACCTCACTGCCCCAAGACACTCTTGTGTCCACTCCGAGGGCTGGTGGTGATTGGGACTGCCAGAATTCATCTACTCAAACCAGTACTTTTCTCTAACTGATCCAATCACATTGAATTATAGCCATGAGAGAATGCTTGATGAGCTGAGCAAGTGGCCAGGATAATTCAGCCCTTGACAGCCATCTCTTAAGGTCCTGGGGTGATCAGTGGTCTAGTCCAGATGTCTGTGATTGTGCTGTGATTAGGGGCTGTGAGTCTGGGGGTGGGCACCCATGTCACATTGCATTACCTGCCCTCCCTGGGATGGCTCCCTCACATGTTCCTGTCCAGAACAGCCTGGTTTGGTGAGGAGGAGGGACACTGCTGCCTTCAGGGAAACAGAAAGAAGAGAGGGGCAATCACACAATAGCCAGGGAAGCTATGAGGCCTTAGCAATGCAAGTGTCTTAAATAAATGTGACCTGGCAGTCCTGAGTGTACAGCCAGAACCTCACTTGCTGAAAACCCTTGGAATTAGTCCCTAATTGGCAGCTGCCTCTAATAGCCCCTTTATAGATCTCTGCATCTGGGTGAACTTCAGCCATCAAGAATTGCATTCTGTTTACCATTAATTTTGATTTTGTTTAGCAGATGTTTTCTGGATTTCTCAGTCGCCTTGCATAATCTATCTTGGTATAATGTGAAGTGGCTGACTCTCTTGGATGAAACAGATTAATAAACTCCTAGGTTCTTTTGAGATAACTTCTTTAATGGCTGCAGATGTGGGGGACTTAAAAAGAAGTCATCCAGATTTGACAGTGCCTGGGG